GTGAAGTTAAATCAAAACAATCATTTCGCTATTTTTGTCATGACAATGACAACAACTGTACTTACTGTAATTATTTAGTAAATAGATCATTTATAACCGTAATTGTAGCAATAGATAATAAGGTGTTTGTTTTAATTTTTTACTTTCATTCATAAGTAGATATGTTTTTATTTCATAGTGCACAGGGCTTATTTGAAAGCCTCAAAGCTTTCAAGGTGGCCGGTTTATGGTCAATTTTATACCTGTTAATATTATAGTTAAGTAGTATTATTTTTATCATCAATTGTATACCTATTTATTTTATAGTCCTAGGATGACATTACAATGTTACAAATAATGTCCATCCTTGATTGGCTGTCAACCCTAAGGGCGGGCATAACTGTTTGCCTACGGCGCAACAGCCACTTGATTTAAGGGAGTATAACTTTTACTTCTTGCACATATTTTAAGAGTCAATATTAAGCAGTCGTAAGATTAACATGTTCGCTTCAGGATCAGCAGATCTCTGGGCAACATTTTTTATTGTACATAGTTAATAAAGTTGTGTTATTTTAATTAAGTGAGTGTTTCAATCAAATTGCACAATCATCAATAATTCGTGATCCATCAAGGATTCAATTTACAACCTCATTTATGGTTTATCAAGCCAGTTTAATTCACAACAATTAACGTCACAACAATTTACAACATGTTAAACAAATATTATAAATATTCCCCCAAAACAAAACACAAAGGGCACTAAAAACACAAACAAAACAAAACAAAACACAAAGTGCCTTAAGTACTTTTCGCTAACGATGTTGGCACCTTCAGACGCAAAGTGTAACTAAATATAACTGCTAAATCTTTCATATTTATACTAATTATAAGCTAATGTTTACTAAACCATGAAAGGACACAGTTTACTAAACCGTGGACCGTAACCGCTTCAGTGAACACGTAAAGAGAAACTAACGAACTAATTTATACAAACTTGAGTTGGGTACCGGTCCGTTATCACTTAGTTTTTTTTTTATTAACACTCTTTTTTTTTAAAATGTCTTTTAATGACCCAAAATAACCTCACCGAAAAGTAATTTTCTTTGTACTACTTCTGGTACGTTTTGTTGGCCTTTCAAAAAATCATTTACTTCAACATTTGGACTATACATATTTTTTGCACCTTATTGCAAACGTGCATCTTATATTTGTTTATTACTTCTTCCCTTAATTCTCGATTTTCCTTTTTTAATTTTTCGAGATTCTGCCTTGCTTTCTTCTTTCCACTTTGTTTTTATCTAGTAGGTAAATCTTCCACAATTGTTTGACTGGGGGGTGGAGTACTTGCGTTTAGCATTTCTTTCATTCTAGATGTTTCCTTTTTAGCTGATCTGTGTTTCCTTGAACGTTCTTTCCACGTTTTTCGCATTACTCTTTTTTTGCCCCTCACTCATGTCCGAGATGGATTTAATTTTTCCACTTTCTTTTCTTTAAATATAGCGCTCCCGTTCTTTCCTTTTATATTATTCATGTTTAGCATCATCATTAAATGATAACGGAGGTGATATAACGGAGGTGACAGAATTTAAGTATTTATTAATTAAAAAATGGTAGATAAATTCTAGAACGACTGTCAAAACATTTCATATTTAACTTTATTTGCCACTTATTATGTGTGGTCTACAATTCCGTTATCAAATGAGAAATTAAAAAAACAACTTTTGAGGGAGCCACCATCGATTTAGTTAAATAAAAAGTTGTTCTAAATACGTTTAGTATGAGAGCGACCACTCAAAGATTTACGTCATTTTTCTACATTTTCTTACTTTGTGTGATCTTATTTAGTTTTCGACTGTGGAAACCATACTAAGCCATTACTTTTATCAACTTTTTTTTGGTAAGTATTAAACTTAATTTTTTTGTTACTTAAAAATATAGTTAAATATGAAATGTTTTGACAGTCGTTCTAGAATTTATCTACCATTTTATAATTAATAAATTCTCAAATTCTGTCACCTCCGTTATATCACCTCCGTTATCATTTAATGATAACGGAGTTGACATGTAATAACGGGGGTGGCCTTTATAGGAGAAAATTGCGTTTTTTTGTAATATATTTTCTTTTAGTATAGATTGCCATGGCGAAAAAAAATAATAAATGCTGCTGATGAAAAGCGAAAAGTGGGACTTAATGTGAAAGGATGCGCAAAATCAAAGGGTCAATCAGTACTCGATAAACTTTCTTGCAGATAAACAAACACTTAAACATACATAGGATAAAGGTTACCGCCTTTCTTTGCGTCGCGTCGCGTCGGCCGCATTAAAGGCTTTTGCCGCTCTTTCTTCGGCCGCTATAAAGCGCCTTTTGCCGCTTTGTTATTGAGTATGAGTATAAGAGACGTATATCCAGCCCCATTGCCTTATCGCTCCCTGGCCCCGCATAGGCCTCTGTTTCCTTAGCCGCGGTTGGTGGCGAAAGAAAATCGGCGCGCCGATTTTTTTTCGCCACCAGCAACGGCACGGCTTCACCCGTGTTGCTGGGTGCGAATGTCCATTGCGACCCGCACTGTATCATATTTAGGGCTCAAGAGTGAAATGCCAATAGTTTTAATAGCCATTCCCGGGTCATGAAGGAGGTAGGACGGGAGGGATAGACATTTTGGTGTTTGGGGGACAATTGAGGAGCATCCGTGCAAAACCATTTTATTCAGTTTTTGTTTTTTTTTCTGATTTCACATCTTTGGGTTTATTTTTATCGACAACCAAGATAATTCTGTTTAAATCCGACTATTCCCATGTTAAAATCACATTTAAAAGGTAGCTTTAGGAGCAAAACCGGCCAAATCCACGTTTTTATAGCAAACCCGGCTATATCCAATAAATAATAATGATGATGAGCATGTGGCTTGGATATGTCGATACTACTACTAAAATTTGTTCTGTTTTTTCATGTTTGCACTAAATTTATTTTGTTTATATTTTTGAATAATAAAGGTTTTTTTCACATTTTATTCGGTTTTTGAGCAAAACCGGCTGTATCCAAAACATTTTTTAAAATTTTGGCCTTAATATAGTTTTTGAAAACGAAAGTATGTCTTGTAAATCTAGTACCACAAAGACCACAAAACTCAAGTTTGCTTTTTCTTTTATCTGTAAAGGCGAGAGAAACCGAGAGTTTTTGCCATTTTCCCAACATTTTATTAAAGTGGATATAGCCGGTTTTGCACGGATGCTCCTCAATTACGCTGACTCAAATCTAAGTACGACGCGGTATCCCCTAGACCATGCAGTTAGTATTACTCCAAACATTTGGGATTACTTTTTTTTAATGTTTATTATTATTATTATTATTATTTAGCAGTGCGAAATTTCTAACAATTTTTTGTTATTGTGTTGCCCTAGTACGTTAGTCATCTTCGCTAAGTGTATTCTGTCTGTTTATTTGGTCTGGTTTAGTTTAAAGTTTATTTTGTTAGGGCCGTTTTCTTAAATTAAGGGCCGGTTTTTCAATCGTTGGTTAACTTTATCTTACGGTTAATTTTCTTAGATACTATTGTTAACACAATAGTATCTAAGAAAGTTAACCGTAAGTTAAACTTAACCAACGATTGAAAAACCGGCCCTAAAGGGTGTATTGCCTTACGCGTTCGTTTATGACAGATTAATTGTCCTACTTAGCTTTCGTGTAAATGACCGTAGGATGGGGCGGTTTTGGATTTTTTTGGCATTTGTCTTTATTTTTGGTGTTTGCTTACAATATTGTCTTACTAATGTTACTATTGTTACTGATGCACTTTGTTTACTTTATGTTTTTTCTAGAGTTTAAGCAAAGTGCCTAACTCAAGTTTTAAGGTAAATCTCGTGTCCAATGTTGCAATTTATGTGTTAGGTTTAAGGTTACTTATCCGATGTTGCAGATGGCCCTTTCCTCCCTTGGTTGTCCTCTTTTGTTTGTCTTGTAAAAAGCGTCCAATTGATATGTAGTAAGACCGCCCTGTAGCTGACACTTATCACTTCACACTTTCTTGAGGGTAGGGTTGTCCAGAATGGATTGTGGGGTAGTCTCTACTCACTATATTTTATTTGCACAAAGTAATTATGTGTGGGTTTTAGGCTTTTATGTTTTTAGGAGGTAGCTATCTTGCTATGTCGAGAGTTAGAACGTGACGGGCCTTTTGCCGCTTTGTTAATGGCGGCTTAATTTTTTTTATATGAGTATCAAATAAAAGGAGAGAAATTGTCATAATATTTTTAGTAATTGTTTGATAGTTGCAGTTGATGGTTTTTGAGTTATAGTCCGGGATACAAATTGCTGTGGACTACTTATTAGTGACTGCTTTTTTACTTTGAAAACTAGTAATTTTTGACTAATTCATTTTAAGAGAATACGTCACTAAAAACCAGTTGTATTTTTTGTAATTTTGTTTGTTTGGTAACTTAATAAATACATTTATGCTTAATTTCAGCAGTTTTTTTTTACAATTTCAATTACATATTGCCAGTTTGTCGCAAAATATAAAATTTTTAGTAAACTATTTAATGTATTATATTTAAATATAAAAGGGGCGCACCAAAGAATGCTGCACGTAGGCGCCAGACACCCCAGGAATGGGCCTGAATACCTATGCACTAATTAAATTATTAGAAGATAATATAAAGAATTAGTTCGTAAATTTAAAAAGTACTTTGGGACAAAACATAATAAATAATTGTCCAAAATCATTTCGAGCGACATAAAAGTTTCCTTCTGAATGAAAATGACCTATATATAATCTATAGTATAGACCACGAAATAAATTTAATTGTTTTTAAACAATTTGTTAAATTATAATTACCAATACAACATAAACATTGAACAAAGTCCGTGTTCGTCATATCGAAACTTCAGTTAAATCGGATAGTAAGGTATTCTGTTTTGTTTAGGCATTTTAGAGTTACTGTAGATATTTCTTGATTGGTCATATTATAATTAAGTTCATTAAATTAGCTTATTTTATTCTGGGACACCCTTTATTTTAAATACAATAATTATTAAATAAGTTATAAATAATAATATTTTTTAGATTTTTGATTTGTGAAGATCTCAAAGACGTCCAAAGAGGCCTGTCTCTAGAGACGAACATGCTCGAGCAAAATATGTCCATTAAATCTGTAGTGGTGGATTTTTTGACGCCTCCGCTTGCATCAAGATCGTTAAAGAATCTAACCAAAATTAGAAACTTTAGAACGCCAGTTAATGATGTAGTCAGCAAAAATATTACAATGGTGCTTGAGAATTTGTTGAAAAACTACGAGAGTTCTCAGTTGCCCACACACGGAAAAGGTAAGATTAAGATTAAAATTAGAATAATATGTATATGTATATTTTAAGAATTAAAATAATTTTAAATCCCTGTTTATTATTATTATAAGAGGGGATTTAAATTTAATTCCATTCTAAATAAACTTAAGTAATTAATTAATAAAGGAATGAATTATTTAATTAGGTAATTAATTAATTGTTTAATTAATTAATAACACATGTCAAAATCTATAACAGTAGGTACCTAAAGGTTCTTTAAAATGGCTCGTTTAAAAACTTTAATTACCTAATGCTCCCATAAAGGCTAGGTACCTTTATTGGATCTGTTCAAAAAGATTTATTGAAGGGAAAAAATTCAAAATGGATTTTAAAGGGGACTAATACTTTTAAGTGGCAATTTTTGTGATAAATCACAAATATAGCAGTCCTCTTTTTGGCTAGAATTACATAAAAACTTAAACTGATGATGTGGAATTTGGATTTAGCACGTCAAAACCTTTGGAAAAGTTTATTCTGGTTTTCAGTTTTTTCTCGGTGTAGCCTAATACTTAAAGTCAAAAATTTCCGATTTATATGTTATTTACTATTTTACTTAGTTTTTATTATAACATATCTCTTGTAAGCTCTATTTGATTTTAATACGTTGTAATATTTTTTTTTGTTTCATACTCTTACTAAAACTTCACGTAGATGTAGCAATTATGAGGTCGAATTCGGATTCACCACGTCAAAAACCTTCATAAACACATGTTTTAGTTTTTGTTTAAAAACTTTGTATACAAATTACACCTGTGTTTTTAATAAAATATAATACAATTTTTTAATGTTGGCAGTTTGTAATAATTGTTTTTTTTATTTATAATATAATATTAAGCACCAAAAAGGTTTTAATAATAATACCATATTTTGCTTGTTTATACCAAAAACGTAAACAAAATATCAGATTCCATTTTTTTCACTGTTGGCAGTACCTGAGAAAATAAAAATTCATATATGGAAATAAAGTAAACCTTTGTAAATAATTTTAGTCAAAAAAAAATTCACATACAAACAAGCATAAAACTTAAAAGTTATTGTAAAATTATTCATAATATTAAATTTAGGCAACCATGTTTTTACTGAATAGTTTATTAAATTTATTATGGAAAAATAAAAAAAATAGTATGTATAATTTAACTTAGGTACCTTGTTTTTAATAAGCTTGCAAAATTTAATCACTATAGTTTAACATTACTTAACCTAAAGCTAAAATTTGTTTAGTTTAATTTTCTGAAATCTTTAATTTTTAACATAGCTTTTAAAAATGTTGATTATTTTTTAATTAAATTGAAAAATTCGATATATTATGACAAAATGATGTTTAACCAAAAGTTTACATCATTTTTAATACTAAAATTTGGATATAAAAACTGGACTTATGGACAGTAAAACACGCAATGTGTGCCCACACAGTGCGACGGTCTTAGTCCGCCATTGATTATACTTTTATTTATAGTCAATGAATGCATCCCTAGTAAATATACGCATTTACTATTAAGAGTGCACTTTTACTAGTTTAGCTAGTACGTAACATTCATTATCTGAAATTTATACTCGGGGCAGATACATAAAACTAGTGTTACAAATTGTAACTTACAATGTTTATTAATAAGTATAGTTATTATTAAATACTACGTCCGATAAGGTGGAATTGAAATTTTAAATAATCGAGAAAAACTATTTTTCGTGACCTTTGACATAAGATAATTGGCAACATTATTATTATTAATAGGGTCCATAATATTATAAACAATATTCCAAAGAAAAATCTTAAATAGGATTTAGGTAAGTATAACCCTATAGGGTATTATAATTTGACTGGGCTTATAAGAAATTTGCCATAAAAAGTTCGATGGAAAAGTTTACCAAAGTTTTACCTTCCTTTTTCTCGCTCTACAGGCTCAGAACAATTATTTTCGATTAAAGGCGTGAACGTATGAGTCAATATATTTTCAAATAATTTAGAAACCGAAAAAAAAACAATTAAAACAAAAATTTACGAAATTTTTTGGGTAGGTGCCCCATTTTATCTTTTTTATCTTTAGGTGGCGCATGCAGAAAGAAAAAAACAAATGTTTTAGGCGCGGATTTTATCAATATACTGATTATTAGGTCAATAAATTATTATAAATATTCATCTTTTTATTATGTCCATGGTTTAGTATTAGTTATACTTCCATTCGATAGAGGCGCTCACCGCCTCGCTGTCGATCAATAAAGAATAATCTTTTTATATCAACATAATAATCGAAGGATTGCAGAATGCCTAAAACTCCTAAAGATTGGCGATGTCCTGTATTTGACGAACCACAAAAACTTTCTGAAATCATGTTGCCAACATATAATGAATAAATTAAATATTATTTGTTGGCCAGAAATAATTTTCGCAATGATGTAAAAGAGAAGTTCTGCGACGAGTCCAAAAAACTATTTGATATTGCTACTTGTAAATGCGATTCAAAGAATTAAAATTCCTATAACGGAATTTTTTTTTTAAAGACCAGCGAGAGGAACGTAAAATATATTTTCGCTCTGTCGATCACTTGCCTACGTCTCTACTGCGCAAAATAGATAGAAAAAGAAAGTATGAGGAATTCCTGAAAATTTCTACTGATACTCCAAGTACTTCTTCTAAAGCAAAAGGAGTACTTGTGCAATGCGTAGAGTTTTTCTTCAGAATCATCTGACTCAGAATTATCTGAAATGATACTGAACAGATCGAAGCAAAAGGAAGCAAAGCAAATGCAGAGTACGCTACTAAATTTAGCCTCCGCTTGTGATAAAACTGGGGTTTCTGATCGATCGGCTGCAATCATAGTAAATGCTGCATTATTGCATTTAAATATAATTAGTAAAGAAGAGTAATAGATTGAGGTAAATTACGTCGGAAGCTCCAAAAAGTTCGGAAAGATTTTCATTGCTGGGAAAGAAAACCTCTAACTGCGCTTTATTTTGATGGCCGCAAAGACAATACGATAACTGGAAGCAATGCAAAGTGGAAAACCATTTTTTAAGAACACATTCTAGCATTTCTCCCAACACTTCATAACTAAAGTGTATTCGGTACTTTGTACTCGTATGGGTACTCGAATACAACGGTACTGTACTTGTACTTGGTACTTTAGTACTTTTATATAAGAGTACTTATATTCCCACATCAAGGAAGGCCAGAAAAGTATTAATAGGTTTGAGATTCCTCAACTAATCAATGAAGCATTACATTATTACAAGTTAATTCACTGGGCGACGATGACACAGAAATTACCGGGTGACCATTTCCTATTCTGCCGTGCTTAATGAAAACGCCGTAACCAACAATTTTGCGATTTTTGGTTTAGAGCATTTTCTACTAGAACAATTCATCCTGCGTCTATCCCCGGTACTCAAAAAACCGTATATATATAGATACGGTTTTTTGAGTACCGGGAATAGACGCAGGATGAATTGTTCTAGTAGAAAATGCCGCAAATCAAAAATCGCTAAATTGTTGGTTACGGCGTTTTCATTAAGCACGGCAGTATTCTTTCCGTGTCACACCCAAGCAGTGGAACGCTGTGTAAACTTGGTTACTGAATCTTCAGTCTCGGTTTATGGATCTGAAGCAAGAGATGGTTTCATCAGAACAAGAGGTAAAGCCAGAAAAGATTTAACAAATTTTGATAACAAATGTCTTTTTTTTGCGAAAAAGAAGATCTTACGTGCGAAAAAGAAGATCTTATTTCTACTCCTGAAGTTACTTAAAGCTTATGATTTACTATTAAATATGTAAACATACGTAAACTTACGTTTCACGTTGATTTTACTAAAATAAACTTTTTATTTATTAAAAATGCTATTTTTATTACTTTGATTTAAGTCATATTTTTTAGAACTTTCATGCCGCCACCTTAAGATATTCAAAAATTTGATTATATTTTTGATATTTATTCATTTTATGTCTTTAGTCAACAATTAATAATGGAACATTTCTTACCTGATATCAGGGAGGGAATGAGATTTTTCACAGCGGGAGAAATAAATTTGATTAATTATAATTATTCAAATTTATTTCTCCCGCTGTGAATAATTATTAACAATTGCGAATACAATCTGTGCATTATTAACCACTAGACAAAAAAGTTTGTTTGGACTGTTATTTCTATCTTACCTCACTTTATACTTTTAATACCTAATTATTATTATAATTGTAGGTTTTGTGTGTCGTTTAACAAATAAAATTGTACATTGTATGCCATTCGACTAAGAATTTTTTTAAGCTTTGCTCAGTACAAAAAGACTTATTTCTAAGCCTTATTATTTATAATGCAGTCACTTTTATTTCACAACATAAATAGCTTAAAGCAAATCAGTTTTGAACAACTTACATGCGTTTAAATTTAAATTGACTTTTTTCGAAAGCAATCTATTTTCTCTAAAAAAGAAATTATGTGGTAAATACAATCGTTTCCATTGGAAATAAATTTTGTGTACATCTGTTCGAACACTAGTTATTTAATATACCTGTAGCCATTAAAATATTATTATTTGTATATAATATTGTAATATATTTAGTAAATATTATTTACATTGTAATTTTGGATGGTGTGTACCTACCAGTGGCGGACTAAGACCGAGCCCGGGGCGGCCAAATAAAATGGGGCTCCTAGGTCTGCTTAGATTTATTCTCGTTTTTATTGTTAAAAAAAGTGGTTTAATACCTTATATTAAATTTGTTAGTAGGTCCTTTACAACCGGCCCCTTAAGACCCTAAATATTATCGGAGATATGAAAATTGATTACACGTCTTTTCCAGTGAACTTATATTCCAAATTGTTAGTAATTTTCTGTCAAAACTATGGGGCCCACTCATAGCATTTCTAGATTAAAAATTGCTCAGGCCGACAAAATTTTTAAACAGAAACCAGATTATCTTTTAAAGGTTTTTGACGTGCTGAATCCAAGTTCGACCTCAGAATTTCTTCATTACAAGAATTTCCAACCCAAAAGTGAAAAAAATTAGTAGGTTTTATTAAACTATTACTATATCCGAGTATATATGTCATTGTTCTATGTAATTATTTTGCACGCTTTCGGAGGCCCCAATTCCAAATGTCTCTTCCTGAACAAAAAATTCTCAGCGGAATTTTTATTAGACTGTGTCCAGCATACATTAAATCATCGGCCGATGATAAATGTTGGCAATTGATTTAGCCGATATATCGGCTAGACAACGTCGGTTATACTTTGAACCAACATTGTTTTTTATTGGTCGTTTTCCGAAATTAGACCGATTGTGTCTAAAATATCTAAAAATGATGATCATAAAGTTTACGTCGGCAAAACTTCGATATCGTGTTTATTTTCCAGATGTTAAAAAATAATCAGTATTATGTTAATGTTAAAAATTTAAATACAAAAATAACATGTAACATCCTTAATATTGAAATGTCGAGAAATGGTTATTGAAAAGCCTCATAATAACAACAAAAATATTAATCAATTTGAATATTAATTGTATCTACTCAATAGGTAATATTGCCAATATTAAGCATAGTTGCTACAAAAAAATCCTAACAATACATTAATTAACAAAGTTATCAACGAATATAATAGGCTACAGATATTCAGTTGGAGATGTACAGCTACGGAAAAAAGTAATGTCCATTTGAATGCTCCATTGTAATTGTTCGGAGGCATTCGGAAATAGTCAACATCTGCCTCTTAGGATTTATTTAAAAACATGTCTATATTTAGAATTTACTACCTGCTCGTATTGAATTAATTATTTTGGGTATATTACATATTTAACTCTATTTTTATTAAATCGTTAATTTTTTGATATATTTTTGTATAGTTTTATAAACATTTATTCTATGAAAAAACTTTTAAAAACAACTTTTTAGGCCATAAATAATATTACAAAGTCGTAGTCGTATTTTATTATTTGTTGCACTTTTATGTGTTAAAATTAAAAAGATATATTAAAATTTTTATATTTGGTATATTTTTAAATTAAATATACTATGATTTATCAAAAAATGTTTAATATAAAATATATATTAATGTGATTTATATTATATAATAATTATTATAATGTAAAAGTTAACATACCTATAAAACTATAACATACATATAAAAACTATAAAATATATATTATATAAATATATAAATATTATAAAACGGCCATTTCAAGCGGATGGACGGGACAAATCACGAAACTGTTTTTATAAAAAAAATTGTAGCTAATTTATTATATATTATTTTTGCATTAAAATTGTCAAATATATTCATCTATTATTAGGGTATACATTAAATTAAAAAAATCGCAAGAAATATTTTATAAAAGTAGAGATAATTTCAATAATTGACAGGGATGGATGGGACAAGATAAATCTTTTTTTTGTCCCGTCCACACCTTTCAATTATTAAAATTATATCTACTTTCATAAAATATTTCTTGAGTTTTTTTTTATTTAATGTATAACCTAATAAAAGAAGAATATTTTTGACAATTTTGATGCCAAAATATTATATAATAAATAATCTACAATTTTTTTTATAAAAACAGTTTTGTAATTCGTGCGTTTCGCGCGCTTGAAATGGCCGAAAACTATAAAATATATATTATATATGTCTTTATATTTATTTATTGCTCTTTTATTATGTGTAGATTAATGTGTATTTTTATTTGTGTTTATTTTTATTAAAATATTATTTCATTATTAGACTTATACAAAAAAATCGAATATTTATTTTTAAAGTACCTCAAAAATATTGTTCAGAATCTCAAAAAAATGGTCCTGTTAAAATGTAAGCTCTTAATATTACATTTACAGGGAATTTTTATTTCCCATTAAATTAATATGAGATTTTTTAAAATACTTTAAAATTGTATAACTCGTTAACGGATTAGTGGACCAATAAAACTAAATCAAATTTTGGTAGGACTTTTTTTAAAAGGTATTCAAGGTAAAAGTTGAATTTATAGAAATTTTCAAGATTTTTAAACTTTTTCAGCGAAACAAAATTTATGGTAAAATTTAGTAGGGCCTTTTTTAGGAAATATTATCCAAAATCATGAGCAAAGAAAGCGGTCTTTTTATTTAAAAAGAAAAGGTAAATATTTACATTAATAATTATAGTTAAAGCATGGTATTCCCAAAGGGTTTGAACCCAATTTGGTCAAATATTAAATTATCATATAAAAATAGCCTATGTGCCATGCAAAACGACTAAAAAAATATTCTCCATATTAATTTTGTATTTTAAAGATGGATGGATTTTCATTGATTTCTCACAATTTTGCGTAATACTATGTTTTTTCTACTCCAATTAAGTAATTTTCATTGATAATAAAATTTATTATAACCTCACTGTTCTCCGATTTTAAAATTAAATTAAATTTTATAGTCGCCCCTCGTTAAATATATCTGACACCTGTCAACCTTACTTTTTTCTAAACCCGATTTGTTCAAATAACAGTGAATATTGAAATAAGCCAATCACTGATGCTTAACAACGTGAATAATGAGTTTATTATTTTTGTTGATAGGCCGGGCGGTTATATTGGTTACCATTATTTACGAAATAAAAAACAAAAAATGTCAATAATATGCAATAGAAGTAGAAAAACGTATTAATAGTGCATTTCTTTTTATAAGCACAAAATGCATTTTAGTTTAAAATTTTAATGGCTTTAATTTACATAGTAATAATAAATATTTTAATTTAAATTGTCCAGGTAACAAGAAATCAGGTAAATACATTAAAGAGGGTTATTAACAATTTTATTTGCAAAATTATGCAAAAGTTTATAATTATTTTAGTATTAAATGTCTATATTTCATTTAAATATATTATTTTATATAACAATAACAACTTATTAA